CAGCAGGTGGAGGCCGCATACTGATGGCGCCTGCCGTCGATCGCTGCGTACTACTGCATACCGCGGTGATCATTGTTGACTGTCGCAGTTAGAGGTGTCACGGCGGGTAAGCTTGGGGAGGTAACTGACCTTCGGAAGGAGGATTATTGCTGCGGGCTGGGGAGTCGTCAGACGTGCGACTTCAGTGGCTGAATTAGAGTTGACCAAGCTGGTACATTGGCTGCCATTGCGGGGCCCTCAGGCGCGGAAGGTACCAAGGCCCTCTCCCGCGAGTCTGAGAGCACCTCCCTTGGATATGAAGTCTGAAAATCTTTCTCCTTCTGCCCTTCTTACTTTAAGTCTGGTCCTGATCTCAGGGGAAGGCGGCAGGCGGGATTGCAACCCGTAGGACCGCACCAAGACTCTGTGGGGAGTCCACCCACCGATTGCGGGAGCTCTGTCGGAGCCTAGGCGAGGCTCTGGAGGCAGGGAATTAACAGGTAACCTTTGCGTTTCCCTCTATATACACCCACCCTATAGCCCCTATTTGTATTACCCGATGCATCTTTGACTGAATATATGACGTGCAACCCTACTTTATTTTTGGTTTGACTTTCAGGATACTGAACAATATTAAGTAAGGAATGTCTTCTCAAGTCTCAGTTTCAACTTTTGCTGGTTGTATGAAGTCAGACTGTTGAAAAGAACTGCATCTGGGAAAAAGGCAGGATGGGGGTATGATTTGCATGATGGTTGACGGGTCGTCAAGGCTAGGGAGTCCCCATAAGTTTGGGGAACCCTAGTGCTTTGTTTTATTTTGGTTTTGCATGGAGAAGTCAGACCCTTCTATAAGTTTAGGGGGTTTGATTACTCTGAAGGCTGGGATGTCCCCATAAGTTTGGGGAGACCCAGTGATATGGTTTGCATGGAGGGTCAGGTTGTTCTGTAAGTTCAGGTGGCCTGATTGCTCTGACTTGTGAGGGGTTTGACTGCGCTTGATTTTGAAGGACTCAGGGCGCTCAATAAGTTTTGGTGCCTTCGGTTGCTTTGTTTTCATTGGGATTTTACTTGTTTCTTTGGTTTCTGAGCGAGGAGACCGAGCTGTTCTGTAAGTTCAGGTGGCTCAGTCTCTTCCTGCTCTTTATTATGAAGAATTAATCTTGGCAAAGAGGCAGACCCTTCTGTAAGTTCAGGGGGTTTGACTCGATGCCACACACATAATGGCTCAGATAGAAACGAATCTGGCAGAGAGTTAAGATCCTTCTTTAAGTTCAGCGGGTCTGGCTCAAAGCCTCGCACATGCTGGAACCCAATGGTTATAACTTGGCTATACTTTATTACTACTCTATCTAAGAACGAGCTAATCAGACTGTTCTATAAGTTTAGGTGGTCTGATTGTAGTCGTATCACAACTTGAAGAGAGTACAACTAAGAATAGAATTGATGGTGAAATGGGGAAGACTGAACTTAAGTTAGTTCAGTCATATGCAGTCTTAGAAGACAAAGGTGAAGATAAGTATATATAATTTGGATACGTTAAACAGTTCAGGGCGACGAGAGTGGTTTAGTTATATGCCCAACGAAAAGAAAAGTAGTTGTGCCCTCTGTTTGTGTATATTTGGCGAAGTCAGAACGCTCTATAAGTTGAGGTATTTTGACTCTAAACCTGGCTAAGTTGAGCTGTTCTGTAAGTTCAGGCGGCCTGACCTATGCCTTATGTAAGCTGGGGATAATGGGTTAAATCATTGAGAGCTCATGAACTATTGTTTGTTCAGGTTGACTTTGGGATGGTGAGATTACTTACCTTTGTGGTTTGGCCTGCATGTGACTGAGTGAGGTTACTACTTAGTCTGAGTTTCAGTTTGATAGGTAGTTGTTTTAGTCGCTCGCCACGTGCTAGAGCCATAGGAGTTAGTTTAAATTCCTGCATTTTCTGAGCTAAGTTTTTTTTACTTAGGTCAATTTTCACATTTTCTGGGATCTTTTGTTATACTTGGCCTTGTATAAATCTGGGCAAGCTACTTTCTCTACGGGAAGCGCTGCCGAAATTTTTACAAATCCAAAGAGTTAGTCAAATCTTGACTTGTCCCAACTTGACTTGTCTTTCTGACTTAGTAAAAATATGGGAAACCTCATTTTCTAAAGGGAGTGCTACCCAAATTTTTGCTAATTCAGGGAGTTAGTCAAAAATTTGGCTTGTCAAAGCCTGACTTGTCTTTTCATTATATGTGACTTAGTAAGAATCTGGAAAGCCTAGTTTTCTAAAGGAAGTGCTGCCCAAATTTTTGCTAATTCAAGGAGTTAGTCAAATTTCTGATTCCTCAAGGTTCAACTTGTGTAGATTTCATACATGGCTTAGTAAAATTCTGGGGAGTCTCCTTTTCTAAAGGGAGTGCTGCCCAAATTTTTGCTAAGTCAAGGAGTTAGATAAAATTGGATTTTGGGGAGTCAAGGGTTATTTTTTATTTCATATTTGGGCTTATATAAATTCTGAAAGGGCATTTTTCCTACGGGAAGCACTGCCGAATTTTCCCTGTTTTCAGAGGAGTTGTATTATTTTCGGCAGGTGGCGCTAGAGAGTGTTATATGGAGGTGTGCTATGGAGGTTTATCCCCCATATGCTGATGATTTAGCCTGGGCATTTGACCTATCTTGTGTTATAGGTCCTTTGGGTTGTCTGATTCAAGGTCAAGACTAGATTCAGCTTGATCCCTTGAGGATCATTATCTGTTATCACTGATAAAAGGTTGGTTGTCGATCCGTCGGTTTACCACTCAATTCCAACTCACCCTCCACACTCAACCTAAAAGGTTTTAGCCCTGGTGATTTTCATTTGTTTCGTTATGGTTTCACCCGGACTTTTATTGAATGGTCATTTAACAGAGGTACTGAGTATTTAATTAACGTTGGTTGGATAGGAGGTTGGGGCTTGCATGGCTAAAGCGAGGGGTATGAGTGTTGAAGATGGTTGGGGTTGACTCCGTGTAGTGCGTGGGTTGTTGATTGACTCGTTGATGTGATTCGCAGGTATGTGCTATGAATCAGATTCTGGATGTGGTTGTCTGCGATCACATATATACGTATGGTTGTGAGGGACCCCAATGAGACTGTGAGAAGTGATCGTCACATACTTCCCCCTGTTATATATGTATATATATGGGTATACTTGGGATGAATACTTGCATTGGCTAAAGGGTCCCGTATCAAAAGCCTGCTCAGGGGTTAAGACTAAGAGGCATAGGGAAGACCCTTCTCTTTATTGGTTTTACTTCTTAAGGATTTTTCTTAGTCGGACGTTGGTCCTGGACCGGGATTCGAGGTCCTTGTCAAGGACATCCGAAGCCCTAGGCTCTGCAGGGAAGGGGTTTTCCCTCGCGCAGAGCCTATTTGCCTTGCCTACCGAGACGCTCAGACCAAAGGCCGAAGGTGTCGTGGCGGCCGCACGGCTATTCCTTCAGCCGTGCAATGTCGTGAAGAATCAGACCCTCACGACATTTCGAGTCTGACACTTGAGTGTCATAAGCAGTGCTCGGATCCACGAGGGACCGCTTGATTATGGACACTACATAGTACGCCATCGTTGCGACTGCATTTGTACGCCTGCATAGGAGGTTGGTATGAGATAGACCCTCGGCTGCGCGACTTTATATTAAAATTTCGCTCGCGACGTTTCGTCGCCCTAGTGTGTAAAGAGTTATGGGATTACAAAGGGACCGACACATATGGGCGAATGTTTGAGATTGCTAGAGGCCGCCAACGTCGCGCGATAAAGGGAGGGTACCCCGCGGTCATGATTTTGTTTACTAGGCAGGGAACCTTCGGCCTATTCCTTATCTTTTGCTCTTTGGAGTTTTCATAGTTGGACGTTATAGTCCGTGGCAGCCGTCAAAGTCGAACCCCTTGATGTTTGACCGCCACGACAGCTTAAAGATGTCTATGCACAGGGTACAAAAGAGGGTGTGGTCTTCAACCGCACATGGCGGTTGTCCAGCGTCGAGAGATTAACCCTAAAGGCGCGCGTCAGCCGACACTTGAGTGTCGAACGCGACCCTCTTGATTAACGGGGACCGCGTGAGTATGGGTACCACATAGTACGCCTTCATTGCGATTGCTTGCGCACGTTTGCATTGCGAGTCGATATGCGATAGCCCTGCGTCCGCACGGTTTTATATTAAGTTTCGCGCGCGACGCTTATCCGATTCCGTATCAGGAAGTTATGGGGCGGCTACCGAGGGGGCTAGGAGCGTTGTCGCGTTGTTTATATTGTGTTGCCTCGTATGTGTGTGTGTGGGTTTTATTTTTGTGTTCGTAAAGTGGTGTGCGCGTGGTGTGTGGGATGCGTCCTAGTCGACCGACGACGAGCCGCGCTTGGGACTTCAGCCCCCTATGATGTCGGTTCCCGTGCAGGTCCGATAGAGGCGTATTATCGCGCGTACCCCCTATGCTACAGCGAACGAGAAACGCCCTCGGCTGGTCCACCAGCGAACGAGAAACGCCCTCGGCTGGTCCACCTCTGCGATTGCAAGTGATTAGCTTTCGTATTGTGGACTGGTAGCTCGGCGGGGATACGCCCACCGAAGGGAGGTGACAGCTCCCGTGAGGTGTAGGTAAGTTGTGCCTCGCGTAGGCCCTATTCTGTCGTAGGGGCTCCCGAGAGGTATGGCTGGCGCACTCGGCCAGAGCGGCTTATGAAAGCTCCATGTATACTCGCGATGAAGGATTTAAAACCAACTCCTGCGTGACGAGGCCGGGGGGGTCCCGCGCTGCCCTGGTGTGGTGCCGGACCGATGTTCTCGACAGGTGGCGCCGAGGCTGGGGATAATGGAAAGCCTGCCGTTGTCCCTGGTGGAACGACATCCGGGTATGAGAAGGGAATGCGAAAAGGCATAAAGGAATGATGAGAAGGTAAGGAGAAAAATAATGAGTGACTAAGTGTAGATGAGAAAGTTTACCTGCCCGAGTTAGGGGAAATTACGAGGGGCGACTGTGCTAGTATTGAGTAAAGTATGTAGTAAGAGTTAGGTAAAAGCAGGTGGATTAGACTGGTCAAGGTGTAATGTTGAACAAGGGAATGTGCTTGTTTTTCTCTTGTCAGGAAGCTTGAAAAGAAGAGGCAGTCAAGATGCCAGAAACTGGCGGTGCATCGGGTGCTCCCAAGAAGGGCCTGACGCTCGATGACCTCATCGCGGCCATTGACCGGCATGAAAGGAACCCGAGCAATATCCCTAAGGTCGACACGTTCCATTTTTGTGGAGAAAGAGTCTCAGAATGGCTGAAGCGGGTGGAACAAGCTTTGGTCGGGCGGTCGGACGTTGTGAAGTTTCAACGCATCCTTCAATATGTCCTCCACAGCTATCATCAAGAGGTGAAGAAAGTTATACGTGCGGCCCAAGGTGGCTGGGAAAGGTTGAAGGAGGGGATGCAAAGGAAGTACCGCTTGGGAGATGGATTGCTGACCACCGCGGACCTGGAGGCGATGAACAAGGAGGATTTTACGACGATAGGGGCCTTTGTCTAGGAGTTCAAAAAAAAGGCCCGGAAGGTCCATGGGATTTCGGAGGAAGCACAGTGCGCCATCTTCCTAGGGCTACTCACGGCATCGGAGGCCGTCGAGTTGACAAGGCATGGAGGAGGTAGCACCAAGCTCACCTGGGCCACTATTTACAGAGGGGTGGAAGTTGGGTGTTTGGACCAGGTGGAGCAACGTAAGGTACGCCTGCAAAGGCATAAGAGAAAGGAAATCGATGCGACCGCTTCTGGGACCCCGGGGGTAACAAGGATTGCTACAGACGTATTGGCACAGCTGGGGTATGCGACAGAGCCAGTGGTGCAAAGGAGGGTAGTGACGGTTGTCCGAGTAAAAGGAAAAGAGCCGGTGGTAGAGGAGGCTGTTCAGGAGGAGCTCTGGGAAGAGGAAGAGCCGGTGCCGCAGCACCTTACGAAGGCCCAGCGCAAAGTGCGTAACTTGGCGCAGGGCGGACAGGGATCAGGAAAAGCGCAGGCGCCTCAGGCGGTGGCGGCGGCTCCTCCAAGTGTGGCGACGCCCTCGTCTAGTGCGGGCCCCTCGCAAGGAGGGGCACCCTCCTACGGACAGTGGCCCTGGCCGGTGATCAATGCAATCGTGCCATGGGGAAGCCCGCCGCCAGTAGCCGGACCACAAATGAGTATGCCGCCACCTATCTACCCCGCAGCCCAGGCCCAGCCTGTGGCCCCGCCGCCGTCACCTGCTCCGAGCACACAGGGAAGCGTGGTTGGAGGTGGGAACCAGGGGCAGGGCAATCAAGGCAACGGAGGGAGGGGTGGAGGAAGGGGGCGAGGTAGGAATGGCGGCGGAAGAGGAGGGCAATGGAATAGTCAAGGCCGAGGAAACCAAGGCCAGGGGAACCAAGGCCAGGGGAATCACGGCCAAGGGTACCTAGGCCAGGGGTATCAAGGCCAGGGGGATCAGGGAAGTCAGGGATACGGAAGGCCTCGTTTTGATTGGAGGTTGGCCATCTACCAACATTGTGACCAGCAAGGCCACACTATAAGTTTCTGTAACATAAGGCGGGAGGACGAGAAAAGCGGGCTGATTTTCTCCACTATGGACGGGAACATTTATGATCGATTTGGGGAGTTCATCGACAGAAGACTCGGGGGAGTAAGGGCGGAAGCTCAACGGAGGGCGGCAGCCGGGCCGCTACCTCCCGCCACATTCAGACTATGGCAGGAGAAGAAAGGACCATCGGTGGGGATAGGAGAATTCAGATTATGGCAGGAAAAGGAAGAACCACCGATTGGGGTAGAGGAAGTGGTGAGCGACGAGGAAGTAACTCAAGGGCCACGAGGTGGAAGCAAGAGGGAAGAGCATATAATCATCGAGTCGGATGACGAGGACGAGGAAAGAGGGATGGAGCCTCCGTCCGTCTTATTAGGGAAGATGGAGGACTTGTTGGACAAGGTGGGAAGGTACCAACAGAAGTTGGTAACCCTCTGTGAGGAGGTGAGGAAATGGAAGTCTAGCATCCCTAAGGTGTTCCTGTACGACTCCGGCCCGGAGTCAGCGCCTGGGCGACCCGGAGTAAATGTGGTAGGGTCAAGCCCACAGTGGGGGGTGATGGGGAGACCCCTCACCCCGCAGGCCAGGCTGGCACAAGCAGCGCTAACGAGGAATCAAGCCAAGGGCAGTGCCAGCCAAGAGCCTCTGAGGAGGGAGCCCGAACCGGGAAAAAGGAAAGAGGTTGTGGAAGTGGAGGACGACGATGATGAAAAAGAAGAAGACGAGAGGCTGCGCCGAGAAGAGGATCAGAGAGCGGAGCAACGGGCAAGGAAAAAGGGGACCAGGGGAGAGGCCGAGCCGGTCATACGTGACGGACCACCCAAAAAGAAGAAATACGTGGTTCGGTTGGAAGAGAAAGTGATTGACCGGCTGCTGGAAGGGCATAATGACCTCATGACCCTGAAGGAAATCCTAGCGTCAGCCCCGCGACTCCGCGATGAATTGAAAGGGAGGTTGTCGCGGCGCTTGGTGCCCAACGTCCATCTGGGTACGATCCTGCCCAAGGAGGCAGAGAGGGCGGAGTCGGGTACGAAAATGGACTGGAAGTGTGTAGCCTGCGGCACGGTGAATTTGGTGGTGAAGGGCTCCAAGTGTGCATCAATGGTGGACACCGGGGCGGAAATGAACATCATCCGGGAGGCGGATGCTATCAGATTCGGGCTAGACATAGACCGATCTAACTGCGGTATTTTGCACGGCGCCAGATGCAAGGCCGTGTTTTGTGGGACAGCCTCGAATGTACTCGTCGAGGTTGGAAAGGTGAAGGCCCGAGCTTGCTTCTTCATCATGCCGGACGTGGATCATGGGATCCTCCTAGGGAGGTCATTTTTGAGTAGAACAGAAACCGTGATGTTCAACAAGCATGACGGTACTCTGACCCTCCTCCTATGTGACCCTGCCTGCGGGAATTATGAGATAATTACTTGCAGAAATACAGGACCAAGGAGTATAAGAAACCGGCCTAACCCAGGATCCTTCACGATCGAAGAATCAGAAGGCGAGCGCCGAAGGCTTCGGGCGGAGCCGGAAGGAGAAGAAGAGGTGAAAGCGTTTTCCCTTAGCCTATCGGACGTCGGAAAGGCCATGGATTTGGTGGCCGCACATGAGATGGCGGATTCGGATGCCATCCAGACCTTGAGGGAGCAAGTTCTGGAATGCCCCGAGGCTGGGAGATTGGAGCTGGTATATCGTCTTCCGGACGGAAGGAGGAACCCCGTGTCCGCGCTGGCGCAGTCTGTGAGTCGGCTTTTTTTAAGGGACGGCTCAAGCAGGGTTCCCAAAGGTGGTACAAGACGGTAGACAAGAAGTGCCGCCCGGTTCCCGTCCTCGTTACAGAGGACGAGGAAATATATTACGAGAGGGAACGAGGGTTGATATGGCGAATGAGGGAGAGTGCTTTAACAGGACCATGTCGTATCAACGAAGGGAATGAAGGGGAGTTGATTATAGGGGAGCCCGACTTCCTATTGCCCCAGGAACGGACATTGATGGTGGAGTTGATGAAAATGAGGCATCGCGCCTATGCGTTTAGTGACGAGGAGCGTGGCAGGCTGGATGTGGACAAAATACCTATGATCCGCATCCACACTGTGCCACACGAGCCTTGGAATATGAGAGGGGCGCGATATTCTAATCCTGACGAGGAGAAGAAGGTGGTGGATTACCTCGACGACAAGATACGTACGCACGTCACCGATTATTCGAGTGGGCCGTATGCGTCCCCGTGGTTATGCTTCATCAAACCTAACGGGACGCTGCGGTGGGTGCAAGACTTGCAGTGGCTGAATGCGGTAACCGTGCGGGATGCTGGAGGACTGCCAAATGCGGATGCTCTGTCAGAATCCTGTGCTGGAAGGCCTATAATCTCACTTATATACCTTTACTCAGGATATGATCAGTTTTCAGTCTACCCGCCGGATAGGCTGGTGACGGCTATGCACACGCCATGAGGATTAATCCACATGAATGTGGCCCCACAAGGGTGGACCAACACGGTAGCAATGGTCCAACGGGCCATGATTCGTGTTATGCAGTCAGTCAGCCCTCATTTCATACAACCATACATCGATGATTTGGCAGTGAAGGGGCCGACAGTGAAGGAGAGCGACAAAGTCTCGCCAGGGGTAAGGCGTTTTGTTTGGAAGCACATCCAGGACCTCGATAAGGTCCGGAGCCTGCTCGAGGAGCATAACCTCACGGCGAGCGGGGCAAAATCCAGACACTGCATGAGGGAAGCAACTATTTTGGGGTTCGTCTGCAGCGAGAAGGGCCGAAGGCCGAATGCGAAGAAGACGGACGAGATTACTGAGTGGCCAGTTCCTTTCCACTCAATAACTGATGTCAGGAGCTTCCTTGGTACGTGTGGATTTTGGAGGGCCTTCGTCAAGAACTTCGCCGCTAAGACTGAGCACCTGAGGAAGTTAGTTTGTCAGAATCAAAAGTGGGTTTGGGGTGAAGAGCAAGAAGAGGTACTGGCCAGAATGAAAGAGGAATTTCGAGAGGGAGGGTTGGTGTTAGGAGCGCCAGATTATGATGCCACGGAAACGCGACCCTTCATTGTTGAAACAGATGCGGGGCCAACTGCCTTAGGGGAAGTTATAATTCAGGCAGACATGGAAGGAAAGGAAAGGCCTTTGCGATTTGAGAGTCGGACTCTCTGTACGACAGAGAGGAACTACTCTCAGTTCAAAAGGGAGACCCTTGCTGTCCTCCACTGTCTACGGATCTTCCGGAACTACATCTTCGGTAGGAGGTTTATTTTGAGAGTGGACCCGACCGCCCTGGCCTACTCTCTGAGGAATTACGTTCCATCGGATCCGACGGTTTCCAGATGGCTGACGTACATCTGGATGTTTCACTTCGAGTTGGAGCGTATTCCTGGTAGCAAGAACCGGGCGGACGGGCTGAGTCGTATCAACTGGGATAACCATACAGGAGAGGCGGTAGAGAATACGCCCCCAGTTGATGGATTCCTGGATCAGGAGGAAGATGTTCGTCTCCATATCAACAAGTGGTCGCCGCGGGTGCCTAACTGTGTGGGCTATCCTATTTGGCAAGCGCCGAGTGGACACGAAAGGATGGCAGAGCTAGTCCTCAAACCCTTTGAAGAATAAGATCCTTGGGGAGGTAAGGATGTTCAGTGGATGATGGAGTTGGCGCTGACCAGTTCGCATAGTCTGGTGGAAGACATGAGGACGATCGAGGAAGGACCAGGCCAGGTAGAATGGCATGAGGATCTGATGGGAGGAATGTATCTCCTCGTCAACACGCTATTGCAGGAAAGCCTCGACCACTCAGACTCGTTGAACCCAGCAGGGAATGTGGACGAAGTGCCCGAGAGCCAGGACGACGAGTTCGAGGAGGGGGAGATTAAGGAGGCCTTTCGTGCGGAGGAGTATGATGGGATCTATCTAGAATTGGGGCTTCTCTTCTCTTGCGAGATGCGGCTAAGGGATGCAAGCGATAGGGCTCAGAAGATGCTGCAGCGCTACTTAGTGCGAGATGGCCACCTCTTCGTAAGAAGAGAAGTGGGGAATCCCTACGAACCCAGATAGGTTATCGCGCGCATCGAAGATATAGTTATAACCCTGATCCCCAAGCGGCATAAAAAGCAGATCGAGATGCACTACAGCCCCCACCTCTCGCTCTAGCCTTGGATGCAGCGGCTCTCCTTGCCTTAAACGGGATCTCTCCTGACAGGGTACGCAGGATCGGCAGAACTTCCCGATCATATCCATCATCCCATCCCAGTAGTACAGCTCACTTATCTTGGCATACGTGGCTTGTACCCCTCGATGCCCTCTTGCAATGCCATCATGAAGTGCTGCTACGACGTCAATCTGGCGGTTCCTACCGTAGACGACCCTGAGGGACTTCTGGGAGCAGAGAGGAGAGGAGCTTCCTTCGCCAGTCAGAGCCAGACTTGGGGTGGCAAGGAAGGCAGAAGAAAGGTTGGATCGCAAAATCAAGTTCCTGGCCAAGGCAACTTTTGACTGACACTTGCTATTGGAGAGCGATCTGGCAGGAAAGAAGATAAAGGAAGCAGGCCATGGGGTACGCCTGGAGGCTATGGAGATGGAAATCCAAGAACTCAGGGCATTGGTGGCCAGTCAGGCAACTATCATCGAGAGTCTGAGGCAGCGATCTCAAGGAGAGGTGGACGGGCCAGAGAGCAGCCGACAGGGAGAGCAGAGGCGGCCAGGACATGGTTTGCCAGGATAACCATCGACAGTAGAGACTCGCCAGGAGCCACCTATGGGGAAAGTCATTATGGAGCCGGAGGAGGCGAGAGCTCAAAGGGAGGTAGAGAGAGAGGCCTTCGAGTTCAGAGCCCCTACTGAGCTCGCGACGCTACCTATAGCAGCGGCGGGCCCAGTCATACCTTTGGCAGTTGAGGAGGGGATACCACCATCGAGCAGTGAGCCAGCTCAGGGCTCAGCAGAGGGATCTATGGACGTGCTCATTAAGCAGTGCACTCGATGCAGAAGGAGGCGAGTTTGTTTTCGCCTGAGAAGAGGATAGAGGAGCCTCTCGAGAGAGAGATGGGGATTGAGACGGAGGGTGTCATTGAGGGCGGGCTCCAGAGGTTGGGCACACTTGAGTACGGGCCAGGGGGGATTGAGGATCGACCAGGGCCGAGTACCCAGGAGATGGAGACAGGAGAGGAACCTTTGGATATACCTCAGAGCCATGGGCTGAGCAGGGAGGCTAGCGAAGCACCATCGTCGTCAGGGTCTCAGAGATGAAAGAAGAGGTCCAGGAAGTGGTTCGATACGTCCTGTTTCTTCTGTACAAAGGAGGGGCATCGAACCTTGCAGTGTCCTAAGTTCCTGAAGGACAAAGCTGAAGGGAAGGTAACAGAGGAAGGAGGCAGGATGTATGATAGACAGGGCAGGAGAGTAGAGAGATCTGCAGATGGGGGTAGGGCTCAACTATATAGGCAAAACGGGGAGGAGATGAGCAACCAGGACTGAGTTTTCCTATATGGTTGACATGTTGCGTATAGGATTAGAGTTAGGATTGGATGACATTCTGTAGACCTAGGTGTTGTTTGCTTTTGTCAGGAAGTTAAGGTTGGGTTTTGTTGAGTCTGTCATCTTGAGAATCGGGACATGGTAGATGAGGCTTGTACATACTTAGGTGGCCTACGCCCTGATCTTCGAGAGACAGACCCAACTTGTACTTTGAGGACGACATCAGTGTGAGTGTGATTTTGAGTGAGTTGAGTGGGCTACGATCTGGGGACATTTGTGTATGGGGCGTTCTGCCCCTGAGTGCATGTTGGAGGCATTTCATGTGGGATATTTTATCCCTGAGTGTACATTATATCGAGACATTTTTGGGGACTACTTGTTGTATATGACGATCACTCTCACACTCACTTGTGTGGTCCTGGTTTGATGAATGATGGTTTGGTGTGAAATATGCGCGAGAAAATGCCTGATGTATTTTGTACTTTGTGAATCTGGATGAATGTAAACTGTCTACTCGCCGGTATACTCGTGCGACCTGACCTTGGGCAGATGAGAGTGCTGAGTATAAGGCAAGGAAGCGCAGTCTGTTTTGTGGAAGGATGTGAGGATCCTGAATATTTCTACGATGAGTATTCTATTGTTGAGTTGTGCAATAGACCCATAAGTTGGTCTTTTAACATGGATCATATGATGAAGAGGGACACCTATGAATGAAAAGGTTGTCCATTATCTATTTGGAAGACGCACCTTCAGAGAGGGAAGATGTGTTAAAGAAAAGGTCGCGGGAAAATTCATCCTAGAGAGAGAGGGATGACTTAGAGACCTATTAAAGTAAGACCTCCTCTATAAATAAGGTGGTTAAATAGATTGATAAGTGGAAGGTTGACTTTGAGTAATAAAAGACTGACGAGAGGGACCAGATTTTGCTTGACTATTGGTGAAATTTTTGGATGTCGCAAATGGTGTGTTTTAAGAGATGTCATCAAGATGTGTGACTTTCTTGCTCTGATCAAGCTGGGAGGCCACAGCCTTGTGAACCAGGCGGTGATTTTGTTTTGTAATCGTGGAGAGGTTGCCATGCTCCCTCTGTGTTATCCCACAGAGAGACTGGTCAATACCTTTATGTGCAACAGGCCTATGCGTAGTCCCGCAGTAGGCTTGTATTGTTGCGACACACCGCCCGACCGCTTGTGCTGATCTTGGACATTTATAAGAGAACCAGCTAGGGGTATAACTAGTATCACTAAGGCGCAACCCTTGGCACAACCTGAGCAGAGGGCCTGCGTCTGGCCAAGGGAGTAAAAACTTAAAGGGGCGTGAACACCTGGGAGGGTTTTACTGCTGCGGAGAGGCGTGGGATAAGAGTCGAGTCATGTGAGTCTTTTGAGGAAGTCCTAATTGAATGTTTATCAGGAACAGCCTATCGTGGCACAACCTGCGAAGGCACTACCGCTGAAATAACAATGCGGTGGGCCGTAGATGTGGAATGATCACCCAGACTATGGTGGGCCAAGATGGAGACCTGGTCTTCCTGTACTAGACTGCAGGAAAACTTATGTGAGAGTCTATGTGGTACGGCTACGTGTGTTAATGTGAAAATTTTTGAGAGGAAAGCGAGAGAATGCCTTCGAAGGTCTCGGTTAGGGTCCGTGCCCCTACTAACGACTTGGTTTCAAGGGAAGGGCTAGGGGCACACAACGAGAAGTCGGCGGCTGTCTAGGGCACAGGAGAGAGAACGGTAAGAGATCCAATGGAGCTTCTACTGAAGTACAGTGAGGAGTATCCCGACGTCCGAGTGTCAGGGCGACGGAGACCCAGGTTTGAACCCTGGCAGCATAAAGTTGTGTTTGGCATGGATTATTGGAGGCCTCAACCCTGGGTCTGTCGGCCAATCGGATTGGTACCCTACTCGTCAGCACTTTTGAGATTGTGGTTGAATTGATAGCTTGATCCTGCGAAGCGAATGGGACGTCGCTTAATATGGTCCGGTAAGCGACGGGGACGTCGCTTATTATGGTCCGGTAAGCTGTCGGTGCGAATACCCTTACAAGGGTACTTGCACTGGGTTTTTGCAATTGACAGAGAAATAGGTCGAGTCATAATTAGTGAGAAGACCCCGCGAGTCGCAGGGGCTCGCGGGCTAACGATTCGGCGGTAACACCTAGGACTAGAGAGTGTGTGGGCGCGCAGTTTTGAGACGCGCGTGATTTTTTCCTTTTGGTCGCAACAAAAGACGCGGCGTGGATTCCGGCCGACGTWCTTCACTATAACAGTCGTTTGTTTTGATTAAACTGACTAACCTATGGGCGTCCTTCTCTCTGGTCCCGCGTGGTACGATGGACGGTTCAGTGACCCTGAGTGGATGTACGCAGGATCCAGATGATGGGACCTGATGGATCGGGCTAAGGACGGGTAGCAGCGGTGAGGCCGGTAGGCCGACGCAAGTTCTGGGTGGCCTCCTGTGCGAGTGTGGGCCGGGAAGTGGCATAGGGTGTTTCCTTGGTCCCGAAAGTCGGGCGCTACCTCTTTATTAGGAGTTTTGCGCCTTTTGGTACCAGGCTTGGGCTTAGCCTTATCGGTTACGGCATTGGGTTGACGCTATGGAGGTTCGGGGATCGAGGCCAGCAGGCGTCGGCGCAGCAACAGCGGAGCAGCATGGAGCGAAACTTGAGGGGTTGAGGGCCCGGAAGGGCTATCCCCCCCCGATTTTGTTAGTGGGTGCGGCGGCGGGCCCGATCCACGGGAACCTCCCTCTTCCCGCTCTGCGTCTTTATAAATTATATATATATATATATATGTACCTCTTGCTATTTTTCTTGGTTTAGTTTTTCATCTTTCTGCTCGCGTCCCGTTTCGGGATGCGATGCCGGGACTGATATAGGGTCGCATGGAGTATGTTGTATTCACGGGGTGGCCTGAAGTGCAATTGCAAATTGTGTTTCGTGGTTGCGCGGGAGCCACCTTAACCACGCCCCGTTTTGCCTGGGACGCGACACAATGGGCGTGACACGGAACTCAAGAGCCTAGCTCAGTGGGTACACCCATGAACTGTAGAGATGCAGGTCTCAGTTCAAACTCCACGAAAGGCAAGCGAGTGGGAGTCTTACTCCACGAGTGAACTGCCGCCACTTGTTAAATTTTCGAGAGGGGAGGCCGGGGCTTGCCCCTGCCTCTGGATTCAGAGTGCACGCAGGCCCTTGTGAATGTTTGGCCTGAGCAAAAGACATTATCCGGTGGGAAGTTGGATAGGAACGACACAGTAGCAGGTGCGATGTCCGCCTCTCGCGGTCTGCTGAAAAAGTTCGAGTGTGAGCAAGCCCGTCGGTGCCCGTGAGGCACGGGACGGGTCATACAAAATTGCTGAAGTCCTAAGTGTACCATTTCTGTGCCTTTTGTAGGCAGCTTGCGTGGCCATGGGACAAGGGGTTTCATGGTCACCAACTCTTGGACCAGTTGAAGATGGCGCTGTAGGACCAGCAAAAATATCAAATCTTCGCTGCTGCAGACGGGCAGGGCTTCGTCCCATCTAAAAAGGGTGCAGCTGAGCAATGCGACCCAAACCACGCATAGTCAGACCTGCAAATGGTGAACTATGCCAGAGCGAGGGGAGGGCTGAAGCGGGATGCAGTCTGAGGGTGCGCCGTTTGCCAAGCCATGATCTGCCGTGG